AATCGCTTTTACTCTGTCACTCGCTTACTCCGCAATGAAAAAGGAACCCCAGCTTCTAACAGCAACAAAGCTCCTGTCTAGTTATTTAGATCCCTTCTCTGGCCACTCATGTATCCCACCCAGCCCTACCTCCTCGCCTTCGCTAATTTTATCCCCACCTCTGACACACAAGGAACGCACCCCCTCTAGCTGGCTGACAAGAGCCCCGTCTGCCCCACAAGGCTAAGACGTTCTGCGCGGTCTAGCGCCCCCAGCGGAAATTTACCTTCTGAGAAATATGGTCATCCGGTCACAGCCACAAACTTAGCGTTTAATCACTGACACAAAACAAAACTACACGTAAACAAAACTACGTAACTTCACTACACTGAAGGTTTGAAAAAACCTTCAATGAGCTCTCCAAAGCATAGGGTCCTGGCTACACATTTTTGTTTCCCTCCATGTGACTCAACCAACAAAGTGCTGGTGATGTTCTTTTTAAAATTTTTTGGCATGTTTTTTTATTATGGTAAAATACACATAACGTAAAGTTTACCATACTAATCTTTTTAAAATGTTTATTCATGGGGCGCCTGGGTGGCTCAGTCGGTTGAGTGTCCGACTTTGGCTCAGGTCACGGTCTTGCGGTTCGTGAGTTCGAGCCCCGCGTTGGGCTCTGGGCTGATGGCTCAGAGCCTGGAGCCTGTTTCCGATTCTGTGTCTCCCTCTCTCTCTGCCCCTCCCCCGTTCATGCTCTGTCTCTCCCTGTCTCAAAAATAAATAAAACGTTAAAAAAAAAAAAATGGTCAAGTGTCATGAAAATTAAATAAAATAAAGTGCATAGAGCACTCATTAAAAAAAAATGTTTATTCATTCTTGGGGGGGGGCAGGGAGGGAGGGGCAGAGAGAGAGAGAGACAGAGACACAGAATGTGAAGGAGGCTCCAGGCTCCTAGCTGTCAGCACAGAGCCGACACGGAGCTCGAACTCACAGATCTGAGCCCAAGTCGGGCACTCAACCGACGGAGCCACCCTGACGTCCCTATCCTAATCGCGTTTTAATGTACATTCACACCATTGGGCAGCCATCATCACCCATCTCCAGACACTCTTTGTGATATTCTGGGCATCGTCTACGAGAGGCAGACAGAAAACTGCCAGTTGGTTTCTAATGATAAAAATCCAACGTGGGGTGTACGGGTGGCTCAATTGGTTAAGCGTCCCACTTTGGCTCAGGTCATGATCTCACAGTTTGTGGGTTTGAGCCCCGCGTCGGGCTCTGTGCTGTTGGTGCAGAGCCTGCTTGGAATTCCTCCCCCCTCCCTCTGTCCCTTCCCAACTTGCATTCTCTCTCTCAAAAACACATGAACTTAAAAAAAAAAAAAAAATCCAGTTTTAATGCATAGAACCGTAAGCATAGTAAAGGAGTATCTTACTGTGTGCATTAGCAGCACTAATAACAGATGAGGAGGGATGGAGTGAAATATAAGGCCAGTGACAATCGGGATCCAGACCACGAGGGGCAGGGGCAGGAAGGCAGACCTGGGGATTCCATCAGGAGCCATAAGAACCTTGAAGAGTTCGAGGATGGGGCACTTGGGTGGCTCGGTTGGTTAAGCATCTGACTCTTGATTTTAGCTCTGGTCATGACCTAGTGTCCTGAGATCGAGCCCTACGTCTGGCTCTGCACTGGGCACAGAGCCTGCTTAAGATTCTCTCTCTCCCTCTGCCCCTCCTTTGCTTGTCTGAGTCCGAGGGGGGCAGTGACATTTGTTTACTCGCTGCCACCATTTCTGAGTGTCGATGTTCCAGAAACTGTGCCAGTCACTGGAATGAGTCAAATGTATGTCAGAAGGCTCATCCGGGCTGCATACAGGTGGTTGATGGAACAAAGCTAGCGGTCTTTGCTATCATGCAGGCAAGAAGTGCTAAATAAAGGCAGCAGTGGAGGGAACAGAGAGCCAACGTTTATGCATCTTTTGTTTTGCCTATTAATAGGGTGACCATGAAATCACTGATCCCATCGTTTTGTTCCTATTTCATAATCACTCTAACCAATGGTTACTTCGGCCCGAAGAAATTTTACATGACACGTCAAATAGCACTAAGGTTTGTCAGCAAGAAGGAGCTTGTGGTACAGACTTATCAACTGATCGTGCGTGACGGTCAAGGCACTGTGGTGGCAACGCTCGAATTAGATCACTATCATTTCAGTCGAGTATTTATGGCCTACTTAGAGGGAAAGCTGTTATTCCGCAAGGCTTTTTGTGGGTGGGAGGGAGAGGACTTGATCATCAATCTGGGAAAGGTGAAATAGATCAAGAAGCTACTCTGTGAAACAGCACGCGATGAACCTGTGTGTAGTGACGGGAATGGTCCCAAAAGTACGGTGTGAGGTCTAACGTGGGCTGCAGACCGTATTACAGAGCATGAGGACCTGTGTGTAAAAACACTGATTTGCTTGTATATGTGAACATGTCCGTAAACACAGCAAAGGGTCCCGAAAGAATATGCCTAAGCGAGCAGGGGACGAGAGTGGCGGGGACTTTCAGTTTGCATTCCGTCTTGAGGTGAGGAGAGAGCCGTGGGTCCCGCAGGAAAATCAAGTTTCATAGGTCAGTGGACCAAGTGAGCATCACAGGCTCATAGGTCTACCATACGATCTTCACTGGTAATTCAAATCACCATAATCCTCACGGCAATGCCTAAGACTCTAAGTGTGTGTGTGCGTGTGTGCGTGCACATGCCTACCTGTGCGTCTTTTGTCACTCCGCCAAATTGCCTCTTGACTCTATTTTTAAATGACTGATAGTATGTGTATCAGAGGTCGTTTGACACGAGAACTTACTGGTTGTTGCCAAGGGTTTCTCCTTGAGCTACAAGAAAACCATTTGAGAGTAATACGCGATAGAATTCCTTCTCAATTAGCTACAAGGTAACCCTCAGAATGCAAAACTATTCATCGCAAAGGAGCAAATCAAAGTATGATAAGCTTCGGTCTTTCCGTTCAAAACACACTAAAATTTCCCGTTTTTAAAATTACACTTAAAGTGCATGTTGGTGGCACAGAGGCTATATACACACCGAGTCAATGCTCCGGGCGCAGGCGAGGATTTTGTTCTCTTGGTTTTCGAATTAAATCTCCTAGAAATACTAAATGGAAAATGGAGACCAGAGTGGTGGAGACTTTATTTCATTTTTAAATGTTACCAAGAATGTTTTTAAAGGCTGTTTACAAAAGACTGTTTACCGCTGTGGCTCAGCTACAATCGAAAAATTAATGTAAGGAACTCACACGGCATTTTCAGGGTTTCATTCCAGATAGAATTTTCCAGACAGACAAAAATTATACTCTTCTCATCCTTAGCCCTCTTGAAATTTAAAAAAAAGGTGGGGCGGGGGGCAAGATAGGAGGTGTAAATGACTAAGCACTTCCTGGGAAGAAGTTCTGGGAAGCCAAAGGGTTGGGGGCTTCATGTAAAATGTCCTGATAAGAAGTCTAGACTATCTGTAATTTGCTGATTTTGAGGAAAAACAGATTGTTAAGAAATCTTGTGAGGCCAAATGCTACAGGAGCTGAAAGTGCATGCAAAACTTCGGATGGCACGTGGGAGCAGGGATTCCTACACTCCTGCAGACCACAGCACTGATTATCTATGACCCCAAGTGACATTCAGGAGTGACTCCTATCACGGAGGGAAAAAAATGTCACAGAAACAGAAGGACAAACATATTTAAGTGCCCCCCTCCAAAAAAAACCCCTGTAATAACGCAGACAAAAGGAAGACACAAACTATGAAACCCGTCATATCTAGAAGTTCTTACTTGGCATGGACTGAACTGTGTTATTACGGCACAAGACGAGCAGACACGGTGAGCAGACTGCCTTTGTGCAAATTAGCAAAACGCATCTCTTTTTCCTGGTTTTCCTACATCTCTGCCCCATTTACCCCTTCGGCTGGGCAGCCTTGTACAGTGAACAACCTGCACAACTCAGGAAAATTACCCACTAATAGTTTAGTTACAGAGTGAGTGATGGGAACCTATGTGTTTGACCCGAATATTTGATAGGAAAGGGTAGACAATTTGGTAAAGAAATGGCTAGTCAAACCACTTGTTAAATTCCCTGAGCTGAGTACATTAAAGATCCGCATCAGAAAACGTTGATCTATGCCTTGGTTATTATTTCTGCCAAGCATTGAGAAATCAGACACAAAATAAGTCGTAACAGAATGCCATATTGACACCATCCACAATTAACATTGCTTTTCTATCTCTCTGGAGCGACCAGCTGCTTCCTCCTTTCTAAACACACTTGGAAACCTATTAGTCAAGATGGCCTCAAAAGCCACCCCCTTGCAGCACAGCTGTCCTGGTGGTACTCCCACTGAGCTCACACAGAAAGGGCCCGTTCCACTTTTCCCTGGGCCCACCCTTCTCCTGCTCTAGTCCCCCTAATAAGTAAAATAAGTCCACCTGCAATTGAATCAACATCTTGAAAACCAGCTTCACAACCCAGTGAGTTCAAGAGGTATTTTTAATTACCTTGGTTGCTTACTCCCCAGCCTTCCCCATTGAAATAGTATGGTCCAAATATCCCACAAGTGACAAATCCGTGCTTGGGTAACGTGCAGGTTCCATGAGAAATACAGCAAGAAGTCAGACCCTTTCATTCTAGGGAAGATAAGGATGACTGGGTTGCCTAGAAACGTCCCAGGGGTCACCAAGACAGGTGCAAGCATCTGCCACCCAGGCGCTGACCACCCTGGGGGGCGCGGGGTGTGAGTGACAGCAAAGTTCCACTCGGGCCAGATGCACAGTCTCCGTGCACCAGTGGCTCGGCATGAGGACCTCCACCTGCAAGGTGCCCCCTGCTTCCGAGAGGCCACGTGCGTCACGGCTTTCCCATATGTCCCCCCCCCGCCACCTTTTCTTCAGCTCTACATGAACAACATCCTCTCTTGAAGTTACCTTAAATACGTGAAGGCCTTCCGCCTCGACGAAGAGGTTAACCTTGCTCACCTCGATAATGTAGAGGACCACGTTCTTGTAGAAGCAGTACAGTATGCACTTGGTCACGCGGTTGTAGCTCCAGGCGCCGTGAACCAACAGGAGCTTCTCCAAGTAGGAAAACTGAGAAAGAAAAAGAATGAAGTTCAGGACCGCCCATCATTTAGGAACAGAAGCCGCAAAATGGCCTTGGGAGACGGGTAAGGGAGCAGAGGAAAGCGGAGTGTGCGGATAACCCGAGAAAACCGCTCCCTCCCGAAAACAAAAGGCAAAGCTTTCAGGTCCAGTGAGGACGACTAAAATCTCCTCTCAGATCCACCTAATTGTTATTTTCCCCCAAACACAACAGTGGACCTCCAACTGTTATTCTCCTGACGTTCTGTTTACACAAATACTTTTTTTTTTTTGCCGGGGCAGGAGGGTCCTCAACTCTTAGGAGAAGGTGACCACTTGAATTGGAAGAAAAGCAAAGCAACCAGATGCTTCTCTTCGACTAGATTTTATGGTGACTTCGGGAGCAAGGGACAGGAACGCTCAGGCACCAGTACCCTTTTTACCAAAGGGATGCACATATGTGTACATGACCTATTTCCACCATCAGCCTGCAGGTTAAAAGCAACTGCACGTGCACAGAGGGGCACCCGCAATCGGGCACACACACACAGCCTTCACTTCTACACTCATTGTGTCCTCCTTTTTTGCTTCCAACCAGGGAACCGTACTTCTTGCTAGAGTGCTATGCAGTCAAGAAAAACAAAAAACCAGCAGGCAGCGGGTACGAGGTCGACGATGGTGTAATGGCTCTCGCTGCTTGAAATACTGAGCGATATCCAATATCAAATGAGATATTTGAATCTTCTTTGGGGTAGGAGGGTCTTCGGGCGCCACTTGAATCCTATCCGCTTCCTCTTAGCCTGGCTTGGCTTTTTGTGTCCTACCTCACAAAGGTCCCCAAAAACGAATACTGAGCTAGAGGGAGGGAAATAAGGTTTGTTCTTTGTTGCTGTTGTTTGTTTTTGTGGACCGTGTCGTGCTCCGGTACAAAGGCACCATTAGGGGCAATCCTATTTAAATTCACAATGTCTACACATTAATTAGTCTTGTGTCACACTGGTGTCCTGTCTGTTGCCTTGAACTACACCCTCAATTACCCACTCCAAGTCACAGGGTCGTCGTCGTCCTCAGGCTCACTCTCCTAAGAGAGATCATCAGGCTATATTGAGAATATCCACAAACATTAGAAATTCAAGAAACGACAGATGCTGGCAAGGATGTGGAGAAAGGGGAACCCTCCTGCCCTGCTGGTGGGAATGCAAACTGGTGCGGCCACTCTGGAAGACAGTGTGGAGGTCCCTCAAAAAGTTAAGAATAGAACTACCCTATGACCCAGCAATTTGCACTACTAGGTATTTATCCAAAGGATACAAAAGTGCTGATTCAAAGGGGGCACAAGCACCCCAATGTTTATAGCAGCTCTATCAACAATAGCCAAATTATGGAAAGAGCACAAATGTCCATCAACTGAATGGATAAGGAAGATGTGGTGTACATATTACCAATGGAGTATTACTCGGACATAGAAAAGAATGCAATCTTGCCATTTGCAACAACATGGATGGAACTAGAGTGTATTATGCTAAGCAAGATAAATTAGAGAAAGACAAATATCATATGATTTCACTCATGTGGAATTTAAGAGACAAAACAGATGAACATAGAGGAAGGGAAGGAAAAATAAGATAAAAACAGAGAGGGAGACAAACCATAAGAGACTCTTATATCTAGGTAACAAACTGAGGGCTGCGGAGGGGTAGTGGGTGGGGGATGGGCTAAATGGGGGAGGGGCATTAAGGAGGGCACCTGTCGGGATGAGCACTGGGTGTTACATGTAAGTGATGAATCACTAAATTCTACTCCTGAAACCAATACTACACTATATGTTAACTAACTCGAATTTAAATTTAAAAAAAGTAGAGTGGCACCTGGGTGGCTCAGTCAGATAAGCATACGACTCTTGATTTCAGCTCATGATCTCCTGGTTTGTGAGACTGAGCCCCACATGGGGTTCTGTGCTGACAGCGTGGAGCCTGCTTGGGATTCTCTCTCTCCCTTTCACTCTGCCCATCCCCTGCTTGTGTGCACTCTCTCTTTCTCAAAACAAACATTTTTTAAGTAGAAAAAAAGTGATGCGTGCAAAAAAAATTCTTTCGATATGGCAAACTGCCTATTTCTGATTACTTTTGACATTAAATTTAACTGTAGAAAAGAAAATTTCTGACTAGAAATGCAGTATTTAAAAACAAAACCGTTCTGTTTCAAGAGGAAACCACACAATAGGTTCCACTAGCCCTAAAGATCTGACACGACATCACATTTCATGAGCTGTTCCAGGAGATGGGGGTAGGGCAGTCACTCAACTACGTACTCCAAAAGCTAAATGGCCACTTCAAAATGGCAGGAGTAGGTTCATATGGAAAAATAAAACTCCCCATAAAAGCTCATTAAGGATTCCAAAGGGGATTGGGGAATCATAAAATAACTGGCTAAACAAATAAAAAGGAAGTTTGCATTTGACCTGGACCCCCTGATGCTAAACTTCGGTGGGCACAGAGAACATCTGCTAGAGTCATCCGGAATGACTCAAGTGTAGCGCTACAATGATCTGTTTTCAGGAAATACACACACACACACACACACACACACACACACCCTAAATCAAAATGCTATTTTCATGAGGTCGCTCAAAAGACGCTAAGAAGGTTGGGGGCAGGAAGGATCCTCTCCTGAGGAGAACGGGCAGCCGAGGGCTACAGTCGCCAGCACAGAGTGCCCACGGGCAAGGCAGCAGCACAGGGGCAGCCGTGAGTCCCAGCAGCTGCCTCTGACGATAAAAGCACAGGCGGGCGGAAGAGAGGTAGAACCAGAGCTTGGCCTCTTTCATCGTTTTTTCCCAAGGACAAGCCTGCGAGCTACATTTTCTTCCTTCGGTATACAACCTTCCGGGGCACTTCCTCAAAGATCCGATCAAAAGCGTATTCATCCACGTGAAATGAAAAGACAAAGCACACGATGTTAACTTCTGCCAGAGACGTTTATCATTTCACTAGGGGCAACGGGACTCATAAAATTGTGGCATCTCTAACTTCTGACTGAAGCGGCCGAGGCACAGTGTCAGGTGGGGAAGGTGTAAGGCCAGGAAGAAGGCTACCCTGAAGCAGCAGGACCCCTCCCCAGGCACGGGCAGGACCACGGACAGGAGAAACAAAGACCCACAGACACATGGGGCCGTGCATCAGTTCCTGTGGCAGCGGCTAGGACACTGGAAGGGGAAGGAGACCCCTAACTCACTCACACTCTCTCTCTCTCTGTCTCTCTCTCTCTCCTCCCTACCCTGCTTTCGTGCTGTCAACTTGAAGAGAGCAATCACTGCTCCAGATCCCACAGCCTATTAGTATGCAGTTTCAATAAAGCAGGTCATGGAATCTCCCTTCCCCAGACATTTTAAAGAAAAAGACAGGCAAATATTTGCCTGGAACTCCTAGGAAACCTCTAAAGATCCCTTCCAGCCACATGATGCCATAACTCAAGTATTTAATAATGCTGGGGTGTATAACATCTACAGTTGCTGACAGACTACAGGAAGTGGGAGTCTCACAGGCCTCGGAGTGGTGGACTCGGGAAAGTGAACGGGCAGGTGTGCGGGACTGGTCCCCAAGGTCACGTGCAGGTCTGGTGTTCTCTGACCCCCGATGCTCGGACCCGAGGCAGGTCACCTAATGGGAAGGAGCCCCAGTGTTCCCACCTGGAAAATCAGAATTCCTTCCCCTACCAACTTTAGCAATTACCTTGAGGATTTCTTTGAAATCAACAGAGAAACAAGACTGATTTCGTGGGCTTTCCGGAGCCAGGAGGATTTTGTAAATTCCTCCCTGTGTCTGCAGAACCACGAGCCGGGAGGGAGTCTGAGAGGTGATCTAATGCTCTAGAACCCCGCTCCGGGGAGGGAGAGCCCCCAAGCTGCGCAGGACCAGCCCGCAGCCCTGGGGGCGTTGGAAGCTCTTTCACATTGTATACGCAGCCCCCAATTTCAGCTTGAAGGGAGAAAACGCCACTATTACTTGTGTTCACGTGATTAAGGTTAACACATACTTGAAATGACACAACACTGGCTAACCACCAAACGCGCAGGCGTTTTATCACAAGTTACTGTAACCTGTAGACAGGAGGCCATGATCGGTGTCCATTGTGAGGTCTAGATTTTCTGGATGATCAAGGGGGGCAAATGACCTAGATCTGTCATACCTAGGGTGAGGCGGTTGGCTATTTTCCTTCAGGTTTTGGCTCTCTCTGAGGAGCAGACATTTCTCTCATTGTCAGGTCATCTGTTCAGTAACTACAAAGTACACTGGGCCCCTCTGCGGGCAACATGTGATCCAGAGAGGAACGGGCTGCACTTGGTCTGGCAGCGAGAGGCTGTTTGCTGTTGACCGTGGGTTCATCTCAGAGCAGCGGGTCTGGGCAGCACCCTGGTTATGGCCGTAGAGAAGGGTGGCTGGCGGTTGTAAATCACTGCTTTCCCCTGACTTTCAATGCCTGATGAGAGAGTGTTCTAGCGCCTTCTGAAAAGAGGAGAGACTCTGGGATGGGGACGGTAGAGAATTAATGTTATGAGCATGGCCATCCTTTAGCAAGGGATGCCGTAAGGAACAGGACCAGGACAGGCAGCCCATGTGGGAGTTGAGGGTGAGAGGCTCTCATCAGCAGGACCCAAGACGGATAGGACGATGCCTCGTCTGGAGGACAGAGAGCTCGGCCAACCTCACCGCTGACAAATACAACCGCGACAACCACAACAACCCGCAGCACAGGGCCCTCAAACCGCACAAGAGCAAGACCACAGGGAAATGCAAATACTCCGGCGATTTTGTCTAGACACAACCGCAAAAGAGGGGGCAGGGTTCTTAGGGCTGGACCGAGGTCAAGCACCAACCAGGCCTTCATGCCCGGCTGATACCTCTGCCAACGGGACGGGACAGCTGGTCAACGCGCCTCTGACCTGCGCGATGGCATAATCCGAGTTGTTGGTCGCCTGCATGCCTTCGTTCCCGCTGATCCCTACACCCACGTGAGCGGTCTGGATCATCCCAACGTCGTTGGCACCGTCCCCGATGGCAAGGGTAATGGCCTTTACCCGCTTCTTAACCACGTCCACTATCTCAGACTTCTGCAGAGGAGACACTCTGTAAGAGAAGAAAGAAATGATGACTGGATGCGTCTTTCCAGAGGAAACAGCTGTAATCTACATTGAGCTGCATTAAAAGGGCAGTTATTGGACAATTTCCAAATCCAATACATACGTTTTATGCTCATGTGCAAAGAAGCTTTCAGAAAACAGTAGCTTGTGGCTTTCAAGTAGCTGCCAACTTCACAGATGAAATACACAAGTCAAAACTAACTGAAAACACGGCCTGTTTGTAATCGCTCTGCGCGGTGGTAACAATACGTGCAAACTCCTCAGGGGCACGTGTGTCCCCCCCGCCGAACGATGAAGGCAGGGAAGCTGGATACAGAGGTCTTAGGAAATGTCTTCCAAAGAAATCAGAAAGCTAGCACAGACCCCATTTTTGCTTTGCTGTACATCATACACAACCCAGGGCTGGCAAGGGGACCGTCTGTAAAATCGGCTTTCACAGAAGGGAAAGAAAATTGGCATGGCTTGAGAGGTGCGGAAAGAGGATGAGGGTAAGGGAGAAGAAAGCCTTTCCCTTCTCCACCTCAGAAATGGAGGCAGTGTCTGAAGGGCAGCCAAGGCACAAGGATTTAAGAAGGGGGGGGGGGCCGTCACCGGGACAGGACTACCAAAGCTGAACTGTGCAGGAGCACAGCCCAAAGCCCAAAGATAAGACAGCCTTTGCAGGAAGATGGGCTGTTTCCGCAAGGAATCGAAGGATGGGGGCTATTTCTTATAAGCCCTCAAATCATCTGGGAAGAAGACCCAATGTAAATCTACGGGCTCTAAAGCACAGCAAAGTTCATTATAACGAAGTATTTGTTCGGAGTGTAAGACCAGATAATACAACGACATGGTAAAAACCATTAGTACCTCGGGACTGATTTATTTTAAATTCTGAACTGGTAAGCTGAGAGTCACTTTGGGTGAAAAAAAAAATTCGCGGGTAAACTCCCGAATGGCGTGTGGCTGCACCCACATACGCATGGTACTTGTGAGCTAGAATAGACACACAAGGACTTTCTCAGTACAACTATGACTTCTCATATGGCCTCTGACCTCCAGAATACCTGTTTCCAACGGAAAACTTACACTTGACCTTACATTTAATTCTACCAACCCAGAGACCATTCTGTGTCTGGTGAGACAGCAAACTGAACTTAAAGCACAGGTACTCTGGGAGCCTTAGCTCAAAGGAATGGAAATTAGCAAATTAGAAAAACAGAATCTGGGGGTTGAAAGGCTTTTAGGAGCCATGTTGTACAATCTACTATCTCTTTAATCATTCTCACAGTGACTTTCGATAATGGGAGTTTATTGCCTCCTAGGGCAACTGCAACCACCAAAAATCATTACTGCTACTTTTTTGTGGTTGATAACCTAAAAGCACTAATTCTGTCCTTTGGGTTAGGCTAGAACAAGTAGAACTCATCTTTCAAATGTCAGGAAGGCTGAACTAGAGAGACATCCATCACATCCTTCCTCCCACAGTTCAGTGGCTACGAGCTCAACAGTCCCAGGTCCCTCACCCACTGTTTAACAGACACGCTTCAGAGCTTAAAAATAGATTCCAAGTATGATCTTCTAGACAGCTACGAGCAGAATGGAACAGAATCACCATCTCCCTGGTAGCAGATGCTAGACTTACTTTAATGTAGCCTAATGGGAAATTACTGGAAGCAATGTTAACGGACAGAGATGTAAACTGTAGCTCTTCCTTCCACATTTGTGCAAGGGCTACTTAGAGCCAAGGGCTGACCTTGACGTACCTCTCTCATTTAGCTCCTGATCAGCAGGCACAGCCCCACAATTCTCATCTGCTACACGACTCTGATTTCCCATTTCTTCTTTAAGCTCAACAGAAGCAGAGGTCATATATGGTATGGAGACACCAATGTGGGATTCAAAGTTAAATAACTGAACGTGACCTTCTTCTGTTCCCCATACTATTTACACAGAAGAAGTAATTCTGAGTCCTTGTCTTCCCATCAATGAAATGGGGAAAATGAGAAGAGCCTACCTCATGAGATGGTTGATATATTTATGTGAAATCACACATTGCCTGTGTGAGACAAATGTTATCTCCTACCCCATCTGCAAAACTTCAATTGCTAGAAAAAATCGGACACGTCTGAGAACGGAACACCATCCAACCCATGGTTCCCTGTAAGGGCCCTGCAGTGCTGCAGTGGGAAGTTATGGATTTTCAAGGGAAAACCAGCAATATCCCTCAGGTAGTCGCACGAAACACTAGCTCGAAGGAGCTCACGGTTCCAATATTAGATCATGCTACATTCCATTTTATGACATATCTTTGTGAAGCCGAGTTTTCACGGCTGCCATGATAAAAAGCAGAAATCAATGTGAAATAGGAAATGAGGGCTGAAACATCCATGCTTTCTTCGAGGTTTGAGAAGTTGTCCAAGGCTCAACAGGTGCCCCACACCAGAGAATCGGTGAGTGGTTATGGTTAGTAAGGGTGAGATAAAGTATTATTTTTTTCCAGCTATGTCCGTGATTGTTTCAAACGTCTACTAAGTTGTTCGAACATAATTACTTCTTTCATTGTTTGACCTTACCTTCCTCGTAGTTAGAAACTGCTCAATGTATTCAATGTTCTTTCTTGGCCTAGGGGCTTTGCAAAGCAATCACTGAGACATTACAGTTCTGCGAACGCAGGGAGTCTGGGAGCCTCTGCATTGATCACTCCTCTCCATGATTACATCACTGGCTCTTCAAATACATTCATTCACTCACTGAAGTGAAACTCCACTATCGTTTAATCTCGAACTCGTCTTCTGTACAGGAGCACATGGGACAGACACACAGCCCTGGGGAGTCTGGGGCTGCGACGACTTGAGAATCTTCCTTGCCACCCAAGTCATCGAGTAAGTTGGTCTCCAGCTGACCTGGAGTGATTCAGAGCAAAAGGGGACTCTGCAGGGCAGAAAGCTCAACCACAAGAACATGTGTGGTGGGAGGCTGGACAGGTTGTGGTGGCCAAATAGGGAAGCCACTAAACAAGTCCGTGGTTTTCTCTGAGGTTAAAGGTGTTTTTTTTCTTGGGGCGCCTGGGTAGCTCAGTCGGTTAAGTGTCCAACTTTGGCTCAGGTCATGATCTCACAGTTCGTGGGTTCGAGCCCTGCATTGGGCTCTGTGCTGACAGCTCAGAGCCTGGAGCCTGCTTGGGATTTTGTGTCTCCCTCCCTCTCTGCCCCTCCCCTGCTTACGCGCACACAGTCTCTCTCTCTCTCTCAAAAATAAATAAACATTAAAAAATATTTTTAAGGTGTTTTCTCATTATTGGGTTTAGCAGTAAGCCAACCAACAAGAGCCAAGTAGCAAGTCAAATCCACTCACTACATTTGCCACTGTGGGATTTGAATCTCAGACGAGTTGAGTCATGATTCCGATGGCTTCGAGCAAAATCTATGCAAGTCCAAAGCTGCATTTTCCCAAAAAAGCAAGAATAAAGAGAAAACCTGACTGGGATATATAAACTGAGTCATATCCCAGCATTTTAGAAGCATGAAATTCTCATCAAGGATTTATTATGCCCTCGGCTGCGATGCCTTGAGAAAATATAATTCTAGCACACACGAGGGGTTCAAAACAGATGTCAAACAGCTAATTTCTACAAAACGGAATAGGCACCATTACGCCTCGGTCATACGTAGTGTTTTAGTACGCCAAGTTGCCACGAAGCACAAACCACCTCCTTTTTTAATCTTAATTTGTAACCTGGAATCACATGCCACACTTCCCAGCATATAGTACATTCAACCCATAAAATAAGAATTCCAGGCCACATCTGAGCTAAGCTAGGCACTTGGGACAGTTCTATAACTACTTTAGTGCCTTGTGAATAAAAACATAAAATCAAAGATCTTTAATCAACTGGAGAGATATTCTACCTACTTTTTTGGCGAACACAATAGATTCTAAAATAAAAAATTAGTTTTCCTTTGGAGACTTAAAAAAATTCAGTATCCTGGAGTATCTAATTTCATGGGATATGTGTTCCTGAAACTTTAAAATGTACTTTCTAAAGTTATTTCAACTATGATGTTTAAGTAGTACCTTTGGTAACTGCTTTTCTAGAATTAATGATCATGCATTAATTTATCTGATCTACAAAAGCCCTGGTCTCAAAACAAGTTTCTAAATTCTGCTTTGCAATATCATCTGAGCAAGTTTAAACAAATCCCTTCCTTCTTAGAGCCCAGAGATCTCATTTGTAAAGTGGGGTGAATCTCTATTACTGATTTGCAAACTGAGCTCAGCTCAGCCAGGCGAGTTGCAAGAAACTCCATCCACCCAGGGGCACCCAAGAGAACTTCAACACTTACTCATTAACCAGATTCACTAAGCACATTTACTAATTGGACTCTTAAATTTAGTTATTCTGTATAGTCCCTATGATGGAAAACGAAGTTTGAAGCCACCGGCCTAGGTCAATGAGTCTCAAGTTTTAAGTGAGCATCAGAATCACTTGGAGAGCTTGTAAAAATACAGGTTCTGATGCACAAGTGTGCATTTAACAAGCTCCCAGGTGATGGTGATGTTGCTTGCCTATGGACAACACCAAAGTAGGCAGCACTGACCTGGACAAGATCACAAGATCTCTCTTGTTCAAATGTTTTAATTAGCTGGGCTTACATTTCCAAAGCAGAAGATACATGTAAAAGTTTCAGAAGGTGACATTTAACAATTAGCAGGAACACTGAATCTCATCCCCTTCTTTCAAGCTTTGTATGTTCTTCTATGCTTTTTTTTTAAGTTTATTTATTTATTTTGAGAGAGACAGCATGCCAGGGAGGGGCAGAGAGGATCCCAAGCACTGTCAGCACAGAGCCGGATGTGGGGCTCAAACTCACAAACCATGAGATTGTGACTTGAGCCCAAACCAAAAGTCAGACACTTAACCACTGAGCCATCCAGTTGGCCTCTTCTTTGCTTTTAACCCTCAACTAGTAAGTACAAACTAGGGTTGGAATGTCGTTTAAAATA